GTTAAATATCACTACGATGAGAATTACAAAATCTTAAAGAAAGAAATAGAAGAGGATACCAAAAAATGGAAAAAATCTTCCATGCTCATGGATTGGAAGAATCAACATCATCAAAATGTCCATTCTCCCAAAAGCAATTTATAGATTCAATGCAATCCCAATCAAGATACCAAAACATTCTTCTCAGATCTAGAAAAAATGATGCTGAAATTTATATGGAGGCAAAAGAGACCTTGAATAGCTAAAGCAATCTTGTACAAAAAAAAAAAAGCCGGAGGCATCACAATACCATATTTCAGGACATACTACAGGGCAGTTGTAATCAAAACAGCATGGTACTGGTACAGAAACAGATGGATAGACCAATGGAACAGAATGGAAACACCAGAAATCAACCCAAACATCTACAGCCAACTTATATTTGATCAAGGATCTAAAACCAATTCCTGGTGCAAGGACAGTCTATTCAGTAAATGGTGCTGGGAAAACTGGATTTCCACGTGCAGAAGCATGAGGCAAGACCCCTATCTTACACCTTACACAAAAATCCACTCAACGTGGATTAAAGACCTAAATCTATGTCCTGACACCATCAAGTTATTAGAGAACATTGCAGAAACCTTCAAGATATTGGCACAGGCAAAGAATTTCTGGAAAAGACCCGGGAGGCACAGGCAGTCAAAGCCAAAATCAATTATTGGGATTGCATCAAATTGAGAAGTTTCTGTACTGCAAAAGAAACAGTCAGGAGAGTGAAGAGACAAACGACAGAATGCGAAAAACTATTTGCAAACTATGCAACAGATAAAGGGTTAATAACCAGAATCTACAAAGAGATCAAGAAACTCCACAAAAACAAAACCAACAACCCACTTAAGAGATGGGCCAAGGACCTCAATAGATATTTTTCAAAAGAGGAAATCCAAATGGCCAACAGGCATATGAAAAAATGTTCAAGGTCACTAGCAATCAGGGAAATGCTAACCAAAACCACAGTGAGGTTTCACCTCACCCCAGTTAGAATGCCTCACATACAGAAATCTACCAACAACAGATGCTGGCGAGGATGTGGGGGAAAAGGGACACTAACCCACTGTTGGTGGGAATGCAAACTGGTCAAGACACTATGGAAGTCAGTCTGGAGATTCCTCAGAAACCTGAAGATAACCCTACCATCGACCCAGCCATCCCACTCCTTGGAATTTACCCAAAGGAGTTTAAATTGGCAAACAAAAAAGTGGTCTGCACCCTAATGTTTATTGCAGCACAATTCACAATAGCCAAGACCTGGAACCAACCTAAATGCCCATCAATGGTAGACTGGATAAAGAAATTATGGGATGTGTATTCTTTAGAATACTATACGGCAGTAAGAAACAATGAAATCCAGTCATTTGCAACAAAATGGAGGAATCTGGAACACATCATGCTGAGTGAAGTAAGCCAGTCCCAAAGGGACAAATACCATATGTTCGCCCTGATCGGTGACAACTGACTGAACACCAAAAAGGAAACATCCTGAAGTGAAATGGACACTATGAGAAATGGTGACTTTATCAGCATAGCCCTGACTGTTAATGAACAACTTAATACATTATCCCGCTTAGTATTTTTTTGTCTGTTCTACTTAATATGACTGATTTAATTCTGTAATTATCACACAGTTATTCTTAAGTGTTGAAAATTAACTGAAATGTGATCCCTGTTAAACATAAGAGTGCAAATAAGAGAGGGAAGAGATGTATTATTTGGGACATGCTCAAGCTGACTTGCCCCAAATGGTAGAGTTAGAAACATACCAGGGGATTCCAATTCAAGCCCATCAAGGTGGCATGTCCCAATGCCATCTCACTATTCCAAGTAATCAATTTCAGTTCACAATTGATCATAATGAAAGGACTAAGAGTGAAAGGGAGCACATAAACAAGTCTAGTACCTGCTAACACTAACCGATAGAATAAATAAAGGGGAGAGTGATCCAACACGGGAAGTGAGATACTCAGCAGACTCATAGAATGGTAGATGTCCTAAACAGCACTCTGGTCTCAGAATCAGCCCTTAAGGCATTCGGATCTGGCTGAAAAGCCCATGAGAGTATTTCAGGCCTGGAAAGCCAAGACACTCTGGCATAAAGATCTCTGTGAGTGAGATCCCAGTGGAAAGAACAGGTCTTCAAAGAAGGAGGTACCTTTCTCTGAAGGGAGGAGAGAACCTCCATTTTTATTATGAACTTGTCTAAAGAAGATAAGAGTTGGAGAACGCAGAGGGCTTCCATAACCTTGGAAACTCATGACTGGAGCATAGGGAGATTACTGATGCCATAGACAGGAGTGTCAATTGGTAAAGTCAACAACAGGAGTCACTGTGCACTTACTCCTCATGTAGGATCTCTGTCCTTAACGTGCTGTACATTGAGATTTATGCTATAACGAGTACTCAAACAATATATTTCACTTTGTGTTTCTATGGGGTGCAAACTGTTGAAATCTTTACTTAATGCATACTAAACTGATCTTCTGTAAAAAAAAAAAAAGAAATTATCAATTCCCAACTTGACTCTCACTGGGATTAAACATGACAATAGGTCTGATATGATTTCATCATCATTTAAAAAAATCATCTATTATTTTTCACTTTATGTTTCTGTGTGGGAGCAAACTGTTGAAATCCTTACTTAATGTACACTAAGCTGATCTTCTGTATATTAAGATAATCGAAAATGAATCTTGATGTAAATGGAAGGGGAGAAGGAGTGGGAAAGGGGAGGGTTGTGGGTGTGAGGGACGGTATGGGGGGAAGCCATTGTAATCCATAAGTCGTACTTTGGAAATTTATATTCATTAAATAAAAGTTAAAAAAAAGAAATAGTTCCACTAAAACACTTTGAAAATTGATCACTATCTATGATTTAAACTCATTATGAAGCTAAATTAGCACTAGCTTTTTAAGCTAGAGAATGATATATAATGAAATGCCACAACTTGATACATCCACATGACTAATCACTACTATTGCTATAATTCTCTCACTATTTGCCCTAATCCAACTTAAGTTTCATAAGTACACCTACCCTGTGAACCCCGTGCTAAAGGCATTTTAGTCCACTTCTTTCCCCTCCCCATGAGAAACAAAATGAATGAAAATTTATTCTCCTCTCCCATTACCCCTACAATAATAGGAGTTCCAATCGTAGCGCTAATTATTATATTTCCAACCCTATTATCTCCTACCCCTACTCACCTTATCAATAATTGGTTAGTTTCACTTCAACAGTGATTAGCCCAACTAATTCTCAAGCAAATAATAACAATGCATTCCCCTAAAGGACAGACTTGGTCCTTAATATTAATTTCTCTAATTATATTTATTGGCTCAACCAATCTCCTAGGCCTACTACCCCACTCATTTACACCAACGACCTAGCTGTCAATAAACTTAGGTATGGCTATCCCACTATGAGCAGGGGCTGTAATCACAGGATTCCACTACAAGACCAAAGCATCACTAGCTCATTTCCTCCCACAGGGTACCCCTAACCCCTTATCCCCATACTAGTAATTATTGAAACAATTAGTCTCTTTATTCAACCAATAGTTCTAGCCATACGACTTACAGCTAACATCGCAGCAGGTCACCTACTTATACATCTCATTGGAGGCACAACGTTTGCCCTAACTCAATTAGTCCTACAGCAGCTGAAATCACCCTTATTATTCTTATCCTCCTCACAATCCTAGAATCTGCCATAGCCTTGATCCAAGCCTACGTCTTCACACTTCTTGTAAGCCTATATCTACACGATAATACCTAATGACACACCAAATTCATGCTTATCATATAGTTAAACCAAGCTTATAACCACTTACCGGAGCCCTATCCATCCTTCTCAACATCAGGCTTAACCATATGGTTTCACTTTAATTCCCCTACACTTCTCCTGATTGCTCTATTAACAAATACACTCACTATATATCAATGATGATGAGACATCTCACGAGAAGGCACATTCCAAGGCCATCATACTCCCATTGTACAAAAAGGCCTACAATATGGAATGATCCTATTCATTGTCTCAGAAGTCTTTTTCTTTGCAGGCTTCTTCTGAGCCTTCTACCACTCGAGCTTAGCCCCTACCCCAGAACTAGGAGGCTGCTGACCTCCAACAGGCGTTAACCACCTGAACCCCCTTGAAGTACCCCTACTTAACACCTCAGTCCTCCTGGCCTCAGGAATTTCAATTACTTGGGCTTGCCACAGCTTAATAGAAGGAAATCGTGAAAACATGCAACACGCCTTGGCTATCACTATCCTTTTAGGCATTTATTTTACCCTCCTCCAAGCATCCAAATACTATGAAGCATCATTTAATATTTCAGATGGAGTATATGGCTCAACAAATTTCAGAGCCACAGGATTTCACGGCCTTCATGTGATTACTGGGTCCACTTTCCTTATGGTTTGCCTCCTATGACAATTTAATTTCCACTTCACATCAAATCATCACTTTGGATTTGTAGCAGTGGCATGATACATTTTGTTGATGTAGTCTGACTATTCCTATATGTATCAATTTATTGATGAGGGTCTTACTCTTTTAGTATTAATTAGTACATCTGATTTCCAATCAGTTAGTTTTGGTATAACCCAAAAAAGAGTAATTAACCTAATTCTAGCTTTATTAATTAATGTAAACATTTCATTAATTCTAGTGACCATTGCATTTGACTGCCACAACTAAATATTTACTTAGAAAAATCAAGCCCCTATAAATGTGGGTTCAACCCCATAGGATCAGCGCACCTCCCCTTCTCAATAAAATTTTTCCTAGTAGCCATTACGTTCTTGCTATTTGATCTATAGTGTGTGTGTGTGTGTGTGTGTGTGTATATATATATATATATATATATATATATATATACTTGTATTTTGCACAAAACAGAAACCTTAGACCCATGGATTATCATCAGTCCTGACATGGCTGCATGAAATCCCCAAATTCCTTGAAATGTTATTGTTTTCCTACTTTGACATTTTAATGATTATCCAAATGTGTTAATTTTAATAAACTAAAAGTATGTGCTATTTAGGAACTTCATATCCTACCATTATTCTGTTGGTACATAAATGTTGCTGGTGGTGATGGCCTCAGCTGCTGTGGTGTAGGCTGTGGGACTTAAGGTGGGGGAAATTCTCCTTGATTTGAGGAATGCATCAGTCAGGGTCTGTGGATACATAGGAGAGAATGATAGTATGAACTGTGGTACTTGCATCAAAGTGGTATGGACACATGACATTGTCTGCGGCACAATGTGAATTTTACGAATCCCATTGTCTTTCACCACCTGAGACATATAACCAGAAGGAAGGTATATAGGTGGCAGAGTACCACTTGGTGACATCAGAGGTACATAGGCAGCCTGTTAAATATTCTGAATGTTCCCATCTTTAGGGTTGATAGCAAGAGTCTCCCCAGGAATAACTTGTACCAATATAATATGTTGTATCCAGTATTGAGGAAAGGAAGGCCATCTGGCATCTTTCTTGGGATGTCATCATTTGTGAATAATTAGTAGTCTGCTGGGTTGCAATGGTGGTGTTCACACGATAGCTCTCCATGTCCTCAAATGAGCCCCAGCAGCCTTATAACCTCCATTCACTTGTTCATAAAATCATTCTCCACATGACAGAGCTGAACAGCAACCAATGGCCAAGCCCTGCAGGAATATAAACAAATAACATGTAGTCATATGTATTTTGTGTGTGAGATAAGCAGAGGGTTTATCTTCTGGGCATCTGTTTCAAAGTGTGAGATGTTTGACTTCCTCCAAAATCTTTTTCAGCAGACTGGCTTACATGAGGCCCAGTCAGCAGGTGACTGCTTCCTGCTTCTGCCACACAACCCAAGCCCTGTTCTGGTGGTATCCTGAAGTGGCCCAATGGCAGAGTCAAATCTGAGGCACTGGGCCAGGTAAGTTCAGAGCTGGAATGGGACAGGGGATGGAACAGGACACTCAGTCACAAAGTAAGGTCATGACAGGAGGTATTTTCAGTAAAACAGTACACAAAATACATGCCACTAGGGACAACAGAGGACAGAGTGGGTATTTTAAATGCCTATTTGTTTACATTTCCTTGAAACACCAACTGACAGTGAGGTAGAGAAAGAGACAGAGAGAGAGTTCCAGTTGCCAATTTTCTCCCCCAAAGGACAACTAGGACCGAGCCAGGCTGAAGCCAGAAGCCTGGAACTCCATGTGAGTATTCAAGGTATGTTACAGGGGTCAGAGGTCTGCATCAGAAGAAGATAAGCCAGATGTGAACCTGGCCCTCTGAAAAGTCCACATGAGCATAAAAACATTGCATAGGTGTTCTTGGGAAGAAAGGCAGAAAGAATGTCACACCACAGGGCTGGACACAAAGAAAGGAATTCTGAAATAGTTGTTCCAGACAAATAATGAGTTCAATAGTGCTCCACCCAAATGGAAAGGCACATGGAATCAAACTTGTCCACTGTAACCGAGTGAGGAAAAGCATTACCAAGTACATAATGAGGAAGGAGCACAGGCTTAGGGTCAGTGTTTGAGGGCTTTTAAGCTAGTTTTATTCCTTCCTACCTAGCAGTCCTGGTGCTGTTTCCTTTAAAATGCCCTGTTTTAAACACAGTATGTGGATCCACTAAGGTCACCAAAATATAAAGAAATGGAATTTCCCAGAAACACACACAAAAAGAAAATAGAGTCATTGAATATTGAATGGTTGTGAAAATCACACTGAGTGATGGAGAGCCAAAGGACTGTTTTATGTGGATTGTTCCAAAATCATATTGGAAAAATCATTTGGAATGTTTGCACAGATGAAATATATCAATACTGAAATATATCAATGGCATTTTTTGAGTGTGGGACATTGAAATACCACTAATTAATGGTATTTTATGACAGATGAAGAGGGATCCACTACACAGAAACAGAAAGGAAATTGAAGATTTCAGGGGGTAATGCAGAGTAGATGAATGGGTGTGAAAAACTCCAAGTTACTGAGAATATGAACAGGAAAAGATCATGCTCTCTATATTGTTGCATAATAAGATCATTATAAAATGGATATCAATGTTTTGACAGAAGGGAAACAGTCTAGATTTGTGTGTGTTTGGGTGTGTGTGTGTGTGTGTGTGCGTGTGCATGCATGCATGTATGTGCACTCATGCTGACAATAGGCAGAGGGATTTTGGGATATGGGTACCTAACTTGAAGATAAGGTAACTTCTGCAAATCATTTATAGCCCATTATTGATGCATGTGAGTATCAGCAATAAAGCAGGTCCCACCTGTGTGGTATGAGGGAAAGGTATTCTGTGGTGGGATCCAAGGTGGGCAACTCTACAACATAGAGGCAAACATGACACCAGGCTTATGTCACACAGAAGGCTACATTATAGTCCCCAAAGACAAGACTGATAGGTGAGATATCAGGGTAGAAGGTTAATAAAGAGAAGTATGTGGGTGCAGTGGAGTGTAGAATATGTTTCGAAAGATTTCATGTGAGCTCATGTAAGCAAATGTTGGGAAGCTGTCCTCAAATCAGGTTTAAAGGAGGCATCCCGTGGAGCTGTACTCAATGCATAGAATCAGAGTTGTTCCATACAATGCATGTTTCAAATGCATTCCTTCCTGATATAAGTACGTCCTGAACTATACTTGTTCTTCACAATTGTGTGAGGAAAGAAACAAGTGGAGTATATAGTGAGAAAGGACACACATGAGTTGATGTTTAGGGGTTTATTAAACCAGAGCTGGCCCACCCCTTCATAGAAGTTGTACTGGTACTAGCATTAAAATAACCTCTTTTTAAACATATTTATTTCATAAAGAGAACAGATTTCATTTAGTTCATATATACAATTTTAAACTTGCAATGATTCTTCCCACTTTCACTGACTCCTGCTTTCCCTCCCTCCTTCCTCCTGCCTTTTTCCTTTCAATATTATTTATTTTTTGAAAGCAAGAGTTAGGAAGAGAGAGAGAAAGAGAGATCTGCCATCTAATGGGTCACTTCCCCGATGGCCACGATGGCCAGGCTGGGCCATGCCAAATGCAGGAGCCAGGAGTTTCATCCAGGTCCCCCACATGGGATATCACAGTCCAAACACTTGAGCTAATCTCTGCTGGTTTTCCCAGGCCTTTAGCAGTTGTTGCACACAAGACATTAACCAGAACCCATATGTGATGCTGGTGGCCACACAACACTGAACCCCATACATTCAATTCACTTCATGCTCATCAGTTTAATTCTGCACTAATTAAGAATTCAACAAGAAAAATACAAAGACCACTGTTGTACAAAAGTAGATAAGGATTATTAAAAAATTATCAAATATAAAGCTGTCAGTTTCACTCATATACATTAAAATAGGGGGTAGAGATGACCCTTTCATATGTTGATTTCATTTCCTTTGGATAAATTCCCAAGGGTGCAATGACTGGGTCAAATGGTAGATCTATTTTCAGATTTTTGAAGAATCCCCATACTGTCTTCTACAATGGCTGTACCAGTATACATTCCCACCAACAGTGGACTAGTTACCATTTCTCCCACATATGCACAAGCACTTTTTCTTTTTCCTTTTAAGTTTTGTTGATAGCCATTCTTTTGTTTTTAATTTTTTTTAAATTTTTTGACAGGCAGAGTGGACAGTGAGAGAGAGAGACAGAGAGAAAGGTCTTCCTTTGCCATTGGTTCACCCTCCAATGGCCGCTGCGGCTGGCGTGCTGCAGCCAGCGCACCACGCTGATCCGATGGCAGGAGCCAGGTACTTCTCCTGGTGTCCCATGGGGTGCAGGGCCCAAGCACTTGGGCCATCCTCCACTGCACTCCCTGGCCACAGCAGAGAGCTGGCCTGGAAGAGGGGCAACCGGGACAGAATCCGGTGCCCCGACCCGGACTAGAACCCGGTGTGCTGGCACCGCAAGGCGGAGGATTAGCCTAGTGAGCCGTGGTGCCGGCTGATAGCCATTCTAACTTAGGTGATAAGAAATTGCTTGTTTCATTGAGTACAGCTCCATGGGATGCCTCCTTTAAACCTGATTTGAGGACAGCTTCACAATATTTGCTTCCATGAGCTCACATGAAATTTTATTTGCATTTCCATGATGCTCAGGGACCCTGAGCATTTGTCCATGTGTCTGTTGTATTTCATCCTTTGAAAAATGTCTTTTCATTTCCTTTGCCCATTTATTCACTGGGTTATTTGTTTTGTTGTGGTTCAGTTTCTTTTTTTTTTATTTTTTTATTTTTTATTTTTTTGACAGGCAGAGTGGATAGTGAGAGAGAGAGACAGAGGGAAAGGTCTTCCTTTTGCCATTGGTTCACCCTCCAATGGCCGGCACGGCTGGCATGCCATGGCCGGCACACTGTAATAATCTGAAGGCAGGAGCCAGGTGCTTCTCCTGGTCTCCCATGGGGTGCAGGGCCCAAGCACTTGGGCCATCCTCCACTGCCTTCCTGGACCACAGCAGAGAGCTGGCCTGGAAGAGGGGCAACTGGGAAAGAATCCGGTGCCCTGACCTGTACTAGAACCCGGTGGGCCGGTGCTGCTAGGTGGAGGATTAGCCTATTGAGCTGGGGCGCCGGCCTGGTTCAGTTTCTTGAGCTCCTTATATGTTTTATGTCTTAATTGGTTATCAGGAGGATAGTTTGTAAATATTTTCTACCATTCAGCCTGATTCCTTTTCTCTTTGTCGAGTGTTTCCTTTGCTGTTCATAAACTTCCTAGATCAAGCTAAGAAGTTTAGAGCTTCTTCTGGGTCTCACACGTGGGTGCAGGGGACCAAGGACTTGGGTGATCTTCTATTGCTTTCCCAGGTACATTAGCAGAGAGCTGTATCAGAAGTGAAGCAGCTCAGTCTCAAACCTGTGTGCATATGGGATGCTAGCATCACAGGCAGAGGTTTAACCTGCTACACTACTATGCTGATGTCATCTATTTGCCTTTTGTAATTCATCCTTTGAAAAATGCCTATTTATGTCCTTTACCCATTTCTTCACTGGATTGATTGTTTTGTGTATACTGAGTTTCATGGGATCCTTATTACTCCTACATAGTAATCCTTTATTAGCTGACTAGTTTGCAGATATTTTCTCTGCTTCTATCAGTTGTTTCTTCATGTTGCTGTTTCCTTTGCTGTTCAAAAGCTCCTTAGTTTGATGCAATCCCATTAGCTTATTTTCCTTTTATTACCTGTGTATCTGGCTTCATAATGACAGAGAACATGGCTTTTAATGTGACAGATTGAAAACAAATCTACATTGTGCGTGTGTGCTACATGCATGCATGTTGACAAGAGGCAAATAGGTTTTGGAAGGTTTTCAACATGGAGAAATTTCTGACTCTTTCTCACATCTTTTATAGCAAATGAATGATGAAGGTGAATGCTACCAATGAAGCACCTATCAACCTGTATGGTATGAAGGAAAAGCATTCTGAGGTGATAAAAAGGTGTTACATTGTGCGACACAGAGATTGGAAAGCTGCAGTACATACATAAGATGAAGCATTCAAACAGAACTGAGAAGTAAGATATTGGTGGTCAAGATTGTATAAAGGAAAGTGTGAGTGGTGGCGTAGGGTTCCAGTGAATTTTGGAAATTTCATGTGAGCTCATGTAAGCAGACACTGGGAAGACATTCTCTGAAACAGGTAAGATCCAGGCCATGGCTCCAGGACACAAAGAATTAGGAGGTTGTTCCATACAGTGAATGTGTTCAACAGTATTCCTCCTGATGTAAGGGCAGACTGAAATATGCTTGTACTGTACAGCTGAGTGAGTGAGAGGATGAAACATATGAAAGCTGGGACCGGTTGCTTCTTTGAGGCAGTTGTACAAGTGCTTGTGTTAAAATGAGAGGATATGTGACTGAATTAAGGTCACAAATAGATAAACAGGAAAATGGAGAGTTTCATCTACTTATGTATTGATAGGCTTGTTTATTTGATTAGCTAGAAACATATTGGCATTGAATTTTATTTCTGCAGGGCCACCTTGTGCTCCCATGGAGATCCCTTCCATTATTCTTCAATGTTTCAGTTCACCCACTCTTGACTTGGAGCTGTCTACTGCTCTTAAGCCCAGGTCTTTCTTCCTTTCAGTCATGGTCAATACTGCCCTCAGGCATTAGAGGGTGCCTGAGGCAAAGAGTGGATTTGCACATGCCTGCAAGACTGCAGTGAATGCACCTAAGGGGGTTGAGGATGGGTCCAAGGGCTCCTAATTGTGGAATCTCTCAGGTTAGCTCCTCCATAATGACTTCTGAGGTTCACAGAGACCTACACATCAGCCATAACGAGTGCCCCCACATTGATCTTCACACAAAGTCAGGAGCCTCAGCACTGCGAGCACAGGTTTCCCATGAGAGGACAGAGGCAGGAACCATGTCCTGTACAGGAATATGGGTCATGTGCATCAGGAGTGAGAAGAAGCCCCAACCTGCCTTGCTTCTTTGGTGCAGAATATGAGGCTATGGGGCTTTATGTGTGCTGCTCCCAAGGGCTGAACTGCAGAGGAGCAAAGTGTGTTTGTGCCACTGCCCCATGTCAACTCCTCACTGCTCTGCAGCTCAACAGGCCCTACCAGGTTCTATCCCAAGTTGTGAGACCTGGAGAGGAGTGGGGATGGGTGAGTGGAATGTTCCCCTGGGGAATCGTGAATAGAGAGAATCCTTCTAGCTTCTTCCCCACCATTTTGGTGAAACCTAGTAATCCTGCAGTGTAAAATAAATCTAATGTGCCTTGTCTCCCTTGGGCTGGAAATTTACATCTTAACTTGCACAGTATATTGTGGAATATTTTTATTCTGGAATAGGAAGTCTTACTTCACTGAGACTCCAGCATTTGAAGAGGGAGTTAATTTGTTTGTTTTCCTTGTTCTTCAACCCTCAGAATCACATTGATATCTTATAGATACAGGAAGACTGTAGGGATGCACTCTGGAATGTCTTATCTAGTAGACCTGGGGGTGGCCATGGCATTCAGCTCCACATGTATTGAGTAGGAACCTCTGCCCTATTCTGCTTCCTTGTGTTTTTGGATTTCCATTCTTAATTTACTAAAAATTCAAGTTCTTTGATTTGAAGTACCTTTTTCAGTCTTCAAAAAAAAAAAAAACGCATAAGAGTTTCTACCACAAAACATCAATGTCTTTTTAAAAAGTATCATTTGGATTACTTTGCAAAATGTGTTTGAGCAGAAAACCCTAGAATTTTTGCCTGAAGCAACAACAGTCATAGCACAAGAGCCATTGTAATAGGAGAGATTTGTGTGTAGGTCACCATCAAACTAGGGCAATTTAATGTTGGAATCGCAGATAAATGCTGAGTCATGGAGAAGGAAATGAAAACCTCAAGTGAGATCATCCCATGACCATGAGAAACCAACACAGTTCTTAAGTGGAGGAAAAGACTGTGATAAGAACACAGGTACTTCACAAGTGAAAAAATAATGCAAGGAGAATTTTCAACTTACCTCACACAGAAAGCAACATAGATAATGAAAAGATACTTGAAAAGCCAGTTTATAATTTGATATGTTGGAAACATATAAAATCCTGTGCCCCAGAATTCAAAGATGCCTCTTCCTGTCAGGCACAAATCGAGTGTGAACAAGCCATCAACATGTAATAGACAGTTCATCATGACCAAATATGCAGGACACTTGAAATACAAGGGGTACCTGTAGTCTAACCTTGAGGAAGTTCTGTGTCAGTGCCTGTAGAAATGCATGATATTTTTCCTTGGCCTACAAGACTAGTTGCATGCAGGTCTGGAGAAAATATTCAGAGAATATGACCTATTTGGAGTTAGAACTACTACCAATAGTAATTATTTATTTGAAAATACTTTTCAGATTTCCATATAAAATAGATGGCAGCCATTCAGCTTCACTAGGTGCAGTGCCTTTTGATCTACAGTGCTTTGAGGCTCCCCAGTGAGTGATTATGACATCCAAATGTTCTGCATTTTCATGATTCTCCTTCTTTCAGACTCTGAATTTGAGGACATCAGCTGGAGCCCCTCACTTTTGCCCAGTGTGGCTCTGGGATTTGACCTCTGTCGTGTCGTGCACAGTGAGATAAGGACAGGAAGAGTCCCCTCATCTGGCTTTCAGGACTGGACAGACATCCCACATTACAGCTGAAGGAGAGTGATACCTCTACTGTAGGAGTACTCTCAAGAACAAGAATTTCTGCTCATATTGGGACACTCCTGTATTCTAAAAATTACCACAGATGAAATTAGGTAAGAAGGGGAGAGAGAAAACTCACATTCATTCAGGTGATCTTCTCAGGTACACAAGAAGATGGTACACAAAGTGTCAATTTTGTCCCTATAGATTACATTTTAGGTATTCAACTCAGAAACCATATGATATTTATATTTTTGTGACTGGATAATTTCACTAAACATAATGATTTCCAGTTCCATGGTATTTTGATTGGTTTGCACGGAATCTATAAATTGCGTTCAGTAGTATGGATATATTGATGATATTGATTCTTCCAATCCATTAACATGAAATATGTTTACATTTTTTATACATTCTTCTATTTCTTTATTTAATGTTTTGTAATTTTCATCATAGACATCTTTAATGTCCTTTTTTTATTCCAAGATATTTAAATTTTTGTAGTTACTGTGAATGGAATTGATCTTAGAAGTTCTTTCTCAGCCGTGGGGCTGTTTGTGTATACAAAGGCTACTGATTTTGTGTGTGGTTGTATATTCTGCAATTTTACCAAACTCTTTTATGAACTCCAGTCATCTCTTTGTGGAGTGTTTTGGGTTCCTTATAGGGATAGTTTGGATTCTTCCTCCCCTATTTCTATCCGTTTTATTTCTTTTTCTTGCCTGATGGCTCTGGCTAAAACTTTTAGGACTATATTAAATAGCAAGGGTGAGAGTGGGCATCCTTGTCTGGTTACAGTTCTTAATAGGTATGCATGCAATTTTTCCCCATTCAGTAGGTTATTGGAAGTGGGTTTGTTATAAATTGCTTTGATTATATTGAGTGTTCCTTCTATATCCAATTGCTTAAGGTTTTTATCATAAAGCGGTGCTGAGTTTTGTCAAAGGCTTTCTCTACATCTATGGAGATAATGATGTGGTTTTGGATTTCACTTTGTTAATGTGGCATATCACATTTATTGATTTTTGGATGTGTAACAATCCCTGCATACCAGAAATAAATCCCCTTTGGTCTAGGAGAATGATCTTTCTGATGTGTTGTTGGATTCAGGTGGCTAGAATTTTGCCTACGTTTATTGTGTCTATGTACATCAGGGATATTGATCTACAGTTATTTTTCAAATTGGTGCACAAAATCTAATTCAGTTTATTAGCCCATGAATTACTAGTGATATTAATTAGCATAACTGCAGAAAAACATTTAATAAAATGAACAGAGATCTGTGATTTGTAAACAAAGAACTAAAACAACCCAATAAATGCAAAAAGAATGCTTTTGTGCCCTAAAGGGTATATTAAGATTGCTTAAGAAATGTGGAAATTGTGAGAAGGTTGGAAACAAAGTTGAAGCAAGAATGCTGTACACTACAACTTGTGCTAGAGGCCCTCAGGGGGCTCTGCTCTGTGCATATTATTTTTAAAAAATTATTCTTTAATTCATTTGAAAGACAGAGTTACAGGGAGGCAGAGAAACAGAGAGAGGAGTCTCCATATGCTGTTTTATTCCCCAGATGGCCGCAATGGCTGGAGTTCTGCAAATCTGAAGCCAGGAGCATCTTCTGGGTCTCTCAGGCAGATGCAAGGACCCAAGTGCTTAGGCCATCTTTCACTGCTTCCCAGACCATAGCAGAGAGCTGGAATAGAAGCAGAACAGCTAATACTGGAACCGGCACCTATATTTGATACCGATGCCATAGAGAGTGGGTTAATCTACTATGCCACTGCTCTGACCCCGATTCTCTTCTGTGGGGAGCAACTGAGACTAGACTAAGTTACTGGAATTAAGACTTATTCTATGCATATGCTCTCCTACAATATGGCGCTGAGGGAGCAAACAACCTCTACTCAGCTGCCTCATCAGTTTGATAAGCTGCAGGAGCTGATCCTGCTCCTGATTGGAGGAGAGCAGCGTGCTCGGCGTGTGGGTAGCAGAGTTGGGATTGGTGGAAGAGGACTATAAGGGAGGAGAGAGAGAACATGCACCGGGACCACCTGAGGAACATCTGAGCAGCCCCTGAGAGAGCCAGCTGGTGGTGTGCTGCTTCTCCGTGGAAGTGGGGAAAGCGGCGGGGGGTGACGCCCCTCCACAGAGGTGGAGGGGCCGGCAGCTAACCCGGGACGGTGTCGTTCTTCCACGAGTGAGGGAACCAACGGCAGCTAAGCCGGGAAGGGCCAGGCAAAAAGAACAGCGCAGGGTCTAGTGTTGTTCCTCCGCGAATGGGGGAGCGACACTCTTCTGTTCCACCTCTCTGCTGATAGCCTGGAAAACCAGTGGAGGACAGGCCAAGAACTTGAGCCCCTTTACCCACTTGGGAGATTGGGAAGAAACCCCTGACTCCTGGCTATAGATTGGCTCATCTCTGGCTGTTGTGGCCATGTAGGGTGTGAATCAGCAGATGGAAGAGTTCCCACTGTCTCCATGTCATTCTTCCTCTATCTGTAACATGGTGATTCAAACAAATTAAATCAATCTCTCAATCAATCAATAATCTTTAGAAATAGTGTGAGCCTTGGGCAGCTTTTAGGCCATGAGAGTAGGGAGCGAATCACACCATTAAAGTAATGGTTGAGGGACGCTGCTATCTAGTGTTGAAAGAGAAGATGCAGCAAGAATCGGCCATGTACAAAGCCTTCGCCATGCATGGAATCCTCTAGATCATCACTTCCTGAACTCAAGAAACCATGGACAGTGAAATTATGGTGTTACAAATGACACAGACTAAGGTATTGTTTGAAGCATCATGAATAGGTTCAAAGAATTGGTCTTAGGGCTTCATTAGGAGAAAAAGACAATATACACAACAGTATGTAATATAAAATAGGGGGATGAAGTAATAGAAGCCTGTCTCACATGAGAAAGATGGGCATAATTAATTGCAAGTAATTTCTGTATCATCTCTTCAAAAAGAGAAAAGGATAAGTTGCCTAATCAACTCTGTCAGTTATTCTAGAAGGTCCTTGTGAATCAGAAATAACTGAACGTTGTTGGTAGATTTCTGAATGTGAGCCATTCTAACCGGGGTGAGGTGGAACTTCATTGTGGTTTTGATTTGCATTTCCCTGATTGCTAATGACCTTGAACATTTTTTCATGTGCCTGTTGGCCATTTAGATTTCCTCTTTTGAAAAATGTCTATTGAGGTCCTTGGCCCATCTCTTAAGTGGGTTGTTGGTTTTGTTTTTGTGGAGTTTCTTGATCTCTTTGTAGATTCTGGTTATTAACCCTTTATCTGTTGCATAGTTTGCAAATATTTTTTCCCATTCTGACGGTTGTCTCTTCACTCTCCTGACTGTTTCTTTTGCAGTACAGAAACTTCTCAATTTGATGCAATCCCAATAGTTAATTTTGGCTTTGACTGCCTGTGTCTCCCGGGTCTTTTCCAGAAACTCTTTGCCTGTGCCAATATCTTGAAGGGTTTCTCCAATGTTCTCTAGTAACTTGATGGTGTCAGGTCGTAGATTTAGGTCTTTAATCCATGTTGAGTGGATTTTTGTGTAAGGTGTAAGGTAGGGGTCTTGCTTCATGATTCTGCACGTGGAAATCCAATTTTCCCAGCACCATTTATTGAATAGACTGTCCTTGCTCAAGGAATTAGTTTTAGATCCTTGATCAAATATAAGTTGGCTGTAGATGTTTGGGTTGATTTCTGGTATTTCAATTCTGTTCCATTGGTCTATCCATCTGTTTCTGTACCAGTACCATGCTGTTTTGATTACAACTGCCCTGTAGTATGTCCTGAAATCTGGTATTGTGATGCCTTCAGCTTTGTTTTTGTTGTACAAGATTGCTTTAGCTATTCGAGGTCTCTTGTGCCTCCATATAAATTTCAGCACCAATTTTTCCAGATCTGAGAAGAAGGTCTTCGGTATCTTGATTGGTATTGCATTGAATCTATAAATTGCTTTTGGGAGAATGGACATTTTGATGATATTGATTCTTCCAATCCATGAGCATGGAAGATTTTTCCATTTCTTGGTATCCTCTTCTATTTCTTTCTTTAAGGTTTTGTAATTTTCATCGTAGAGATCTTTAACGTCCTTGGTTAAGTTTATTCCAAGGTATTGGATTGTTTTTGCAGCTATTGTGAATGGGATTGATCCTAGAAGTTCTTCCTCAGCCATGGCATTGTCTGTGTATACAAAGGCTGTTGATTTTTGTGCATTGATTTTATACCCTGCTACTTTGCCAAAATCTTCTATGAGTTCCAATAGTCTCTTGGTAGAGTTCTTTGGGTCCCCTAAATAAAGAATCATGTCATCTGCAAAGAGGGATAGTTTGAGTTCTTCCTTCCCAATTTGTATCCCTTTAATTTCTTTTTCTTGCCTAATAGCTCTGGCTAGAACCTCCAGAACTATATTGAATAGCAGTGGTGAGAGTGGACATCCCTGTCTGGTCCCAGATCTCAGTGGAAATGCTTCCAACTTTTCCCCATTCAATAGGATGTTGGCTGTGGGTTTTTCATAGATTGCTTTGATTGTATTGAGGAATGTTCCTTCCAAACCCAGTTTGCTTAGAGTTTTCATCATGAACGGGTGTTGTATTTTAACAAATGCTTTCTCGGCATCTATTGAGAGAATCATATGGTTTTTCTTCTGCAGTCTGTTAATGTGGTGTATCACATTGATTGTCTTGCACACATTAAACCATCCCTGCATACCAGGGATAAATCCCACTTGGTCTGGAAATCTACCAACAACAGATGCTGGCGAGGATGTGGGGGAAAAGGGACACTAACCCACTGTTGGTGGGAATGCAAACTGGTCAAGCCACTATGGAAGTCAGTCTGGAGATTCCTCAGAAACCTGAAGATAACCATACCGTTCGACCCAGCCATCCCACTCCTTGGAATTTACCCAAAGGAATTTAAATTGGCAAACAAAAAAGCGGTCTGCAGCCTAATGTTTATTGCAGCTCAATTCACAATAGTTAAGACCTGGAACCAACCTAAATGCCCATCAACGGTAGACTGGATAAAGAAATTATGGGATATGTACTCTTTAGAATACTATACCGCAGTAAGAAACAACGAAATCCAGTCATTTGCAACAAAATGG